AAATAAATTTTAAATAAAAAATTTACACATTTTTTATAAATGAAATAAGGGAGTTGTGTACCACTTTATTAAAATTATTTAAGAGGTGAATATCATTTTGTTAGAAATATTAAGAAGATGAATGCCTATTTAAAAATTATAGAAAGTGTGAGTGATATTTCATTAAAAAAAATACATAAAAGAGATAATTTTCTATTATAGAAATAAGAGTATGATTTAGTACAATTTTGAAGAGATAAGTATAATTTCCTATCTTTATATTGTATTCTATTTTAAGTTTTTATAAAGGTAGATGGATATGGATAAAAAATAAACTATTTTTTTTAGGTTAAGGCAAAGGGTAGGTGGGCGGGCTGGTAGAGGATGACACTTATTTTCATTGTAAAAAGAAATATTAACAAAAATGAGAGTCACTTAACTTATTTTTATAAAATTGATTTAATAAGATAAAAAATATATATTATAATGTTATTATATTTTTAATGAATGTGATATTTTATTATATAATTTCATTTTATTAAAATATTATAATATTATTGTATTTTTATTCGAGGGAAGATTTTATCATTCATTCTAAGAATTTTTTTTTATCATACACGACTTATTTCACCTTTACACTTCTGATAGAAATTTTTCATTACATAATTTATTTTATGAGAATTTTTCATTATTTGAACTATGTTTAATATCATACTAAAAATAGAGATGTACTTAATTTAATGTTAAAAAAATTAATTTAATAAGATGAAAAATTATACTCATTTATATATTATAATATTATTTTAATCTATATAAATAATTAGACAAGGAAGAAAAAATACAACAAATAATTGGAAGAGTGCAAAAATATGAAGAGAAGTGAGGCTTTTTACTTTAAGTATTTAAATTTGAAGTCGGTTTATTTAATTCTACATCATGGGCATTAGATTATGGAGAAAAGGTTAGTGATATTTTCTGGGATATGGATAGTGATTATGTGGCTCTTTAACACTGTGGCTAGCTGTGGTTTTCAATATTTAATCACATTTAATGATGTTTTTAGTAAACATGAATATGTGTATCAAATGAAAGATAAGTTAGGTGAAAAATATACTAAAAGGTCCTGCACAAATTCTTTTTATGTCACCCCTTCTCGTTGAATCTAAAAATAAATGATTTAAAAAAAAATATGATAATATTTTTGTAAATAAAAGATACAATTTGTGCGTTGCCTCATTTAATTTTATATAAGGTTTTTTCTTACTTTCGTGCATGAGGATTTTTGAATGACGGTGGTAATGACCATTTAATTCTTTTCATGATACATTTTGATCATATAGTATTGTAGTATTAAATTTGAGTTTTAAAGTGTTTTTTGTATATTTGAAATTAGTGTTCTATGTCTCCTCTTTTACGTTCAAATTAAATTCGTGATTTTTTTAGAAATCTCAATTACGTTATTATATAAATGTCTCTACTGGATTGTTATTGAAATTGAACGGTTGTAGTTTATGATTATCTGTTTATTCGTTTGAGTACATTTACAGTTTATATACTGCATTTTTATGTTTTCACGGTTTAGTTGTTTAAGTCTAACATTTTTTGTTTTTAAAATATGAATTCTTGATTGAATTTCTGAGAGTGACGAAAATTTATAACATAAGTATACATGAATCGGAGTTGAATGAATGCATGTCGTATTAGTGAAGAGTATGAAAAGGGAGTTGAAGAATGTTTGAAATTTATTCATGAAAATGGAAAACATATCAAATAGATATATTACTGTCTATGTGTTCGTTGTTTAAATCAAATTCGTTATGAACTTCAAGATATATGTGATCACTTGTCTATCTATGATATTGTTAAGAGTTATATAATTTGAACATGACATGAAAAAATATAAACACCTCAACTATGTAAACAACAAAAATTTTTGAAGAAAAGATGAATGATAATTTAGAGGATATGATACATAACATTCGTGAATAAAATTTTAAGAAAGCACGTTTGTATGATTCTTTAAAATTTGATTTTGAGCAACAATTATACAATGGATGTAGTTTTATAAGATTATCAACAACTTTAAGATTGTTCAATTTAAAAATAAGAAATGGTTAGATTGATAAGAGTTTCACCGAATTATTAGAGTTATTGAAGTAAATGATTCCCGAAGATAACACATTACCTAATTAATCGCAACTATGAGGTAAAGAAGATATTATGTTCAATGGATTTAGAATCAACACTAAATGGATTTATGTTGTTGTTGTCGATCTCTTATCGGAATATACTCACATCGATGCATCATACTAGTGTGAGTTATATGTATATATTGTTTATTTTCTTTTTTTATATTCTTAATTATATGAATGTTTAATTGATTATTATCATCTGTTTTTTTTTAATTATAAATTATTATATATAAACATATAAATAAATTACTTTAAATGTACATTAAATAATTACGAATAAAAAATATATATCAAATTAAAATTAAAAAAAAAACTATTTATAAATTATATATATTATATGAATTATAATTATAAAATTAAAAAAATTATATTTAGAATTATAATCTTAAAACAAAATTATAATTATAAAATTAATAACAATATATGTATTTTTAATGTTAAATAAATTATATATATTATATAAATTATAATTATATATATATATATTACATAAATTAATATATATATATATATATTACATAAATTAATATATATATTACATAAATTAAAATTATATATATATATATATATATATATATATATATGAACCTCAAATTAATTATATATATATATTGTATAAATTAAAATAATAATTATAAACTTAAAAATAAATTATATTTAGAATTATTAAAAAAATCTATTTATAAAATTAATGAAAAAAAATAAAAAATCAATTTAAAATTTAGTTTATCGGAGACCGAATTCTGACCGAAAAAATAAAAGAAAATTAGATATAGTAAAAAATCGAATCGAATTACAAACGTGAACAAATGTTATATAGGTAAATAATATTATAAAAATGTTATTTTGAGAAATATTTTTTAAAATAATATTATTTACGAAAAAAAGTTGATATTAATAACGTTTATTTAAGTCAACAATTTAATGATCATTCCCGTATGAATTTTTAAGGATATCCAAAAGAAATTAAGGAACATTATCTCCATAATTCTTTGTTGAACAAAATATTATTTATTTATTTTGCATAGGATGGTGTATTTCTGGAAAATAGAATTGGGAGAAATTCAAAATACCACAAATGATTAAGTGGGTTTTCATTAAAAAAATTGGCCATAAAGATAATGTAAAGAGGACGATAAAACATCTTATTGACTTAATGTTTAAGCACAAATTGATGACATAGAATATAATCAATTTTCTTGAAGCCCGCTAACTTATAAAACCTTTTCTCCAATAAAAAACCATCATATTGAGAATTGAGGATCATCTACACTCAAAATTTTATAACTTAGTATACTTTGACCCTAATAATTATTGAGTATATGTAATTATATAATTTAATTTTTTTATTTTTTTATATTCTTTCACTTTTTATATTTATTTATTATTTATTAATAATATATTATTTTTCTATCCATCACTGATAACCGTGTGGGTATACGTGAAGAGTGCTGGTGTAAGTTCTATAAACCAATATTTTATCTTTACATTTCTATTTTGCTTTAGTTCGTTGGAAATAAAGTTCATACAATAATTTATTATTTAATACTATTTTTAAACTATCCCTAATTGTTAATAAATAGGATGATAATATGTTAAGTGGACTAATAATCATGATTTACAAGTCATGATAATTAATAAGTATTATGAGAATCAAATCTATTAAAAATGTAAAGTTTAAAAAGTAAATAGATAAATTCATACAATATTATTTTAGTTTAATTAGCAGTCTTGAGTGAAATTCTGCCAAGGAAAATAACCCTCTAAAGCAAAAGAAATTGTCATCCATAATACTCATAATCAAATTAAAGGTTTGAATCTCTTACAAAAAAAAATACTTCATTTGTTACTAAGTATAGTTTTATTGAGAAAAAAACTATTTATCATTTGTAAAATTTTAAAATGATTTAATTACTCTTTTATTGATTATACTTTATTCTTTTAATTATATTTATTGTAGAAAGAATATAACAAATTATTAAGAATATTTTTATAGAGAACATTAAAATAATAAAAATAATAATAAAAAATAATATATTTATTAAAATTAACAAAATAATATTTATATTAATTTATTTAATTCAACCTTAAACTACGCATGTTTTTAAAAAGAGAGAATCCTGGAATATGTAACTATGTTTTTAATATTATTGTCCTCATTGTGGATAAGCAAAGAAAATCCAACTAAAATTGAGTTTTTTTTTTTTTTAAGAGGTCGAGTTCAAAACTTTGAAAAATAAGAGTCAATAACTAACTAATTTTTTTAACGAAATTAATTATTTGTTATATTGATAAATACTTCCTAGCTATATATTTATATATAATATAGTTTATGAAAGGAACTATCCAACTGAAAAAGAATATTAAAGTAATAAAATAAAATAGTTGAATAACTTTTTTTATTATATTCTCTCTTTTCTCAACCGTTCATAAAATTTAATATGATTTCACATGCTTAATTTCTGAGAAGGGATTCAACAAACTGTTGAGATGAAATGATTACATGAAAATTCAACAATTCATTTCCACCTCATTTTAACATTTCCCTTTACAATTTAATAATATTTTTAAGTTATTTTTTTATTCTTGCATTTAATAACTGATTGCATATTCTCTTTATTGAAGAAAATAATTAATCATATTCAACATAAAATTAAAAAACAAATATTGTGGTCAAACACAGTTGTGGGAGTTACATTTTTTCAATCAACTTAGCCGTAGCTAGGAACATGAATTCTTAGCCAAACCGCCATGCCTTGATTTCAGAAACCTTCAACTTCTACAACCCAAACTACTATCTCCTCACTTCAGCACCATCGAGAATTGACCATGGAAGAATCGTACTCTATGCTTGAGGATGCAAGAAATATGGAACCAATCATGTTCACCACTCAAGAAAGCACCCCAAGAAATTGGAATGAAGAACCAATAATACCCGATCAACACCTTGTGACTCCAATTGGAAGTACTTCTCAAGGGTCAATGAACAATTCAACCTGTAGTTCATCCCACCAATATGATGTGTTATCCCTGTTAGAGGGAATAGTTAACGAAAAACACATAGAAGAAACCCTAATCCAATCCAAGCTATTGTCGTGCAACTTTGCGTCCATTGCAGCAACAGCAACAGCAACAGCAACGTACATTTCATCTTTTCGTACTTTGCTTTATAGTAATACACTCAATTTTATTTCTCTTAACGTGAAATGCTGTAGCAGGATTTTCAATGAGAGGGAACGAAATGATTGTGGAGAGAATGATCGCAGACAGCATGACGCGTATCGTGATTTGGTTGCAAAAACAATTGGTAGCAAGAGCTCTGTGTATCGAGGAGTAATCAAGTATGTATGATTCTCTTTGAAATGAATATGCCATTGCTCAAGTTCTATCTTTTTTATTTTATTTTTTGTGACCATTTTCATATAGGTGCAACGATGAGCGTTTCGAAGCATTTGTGTGGGATAACACAGATCCAGGGGAAAGAGGAAGAACAGGTTGAATAGTCTACAAAATATACATCTTTACAATTCTTCATTTCTTTCCCCTCTCAACAAACTCCTCACTAACTTGATTTCATTTTTACTTGTATGTCTGCATCTTCTTCAACAATTGCAGTTTATATTGGTTAGTACAATTTGTTTCCCTGTATAAAATATTGGTTATAGATAAAATCTAGGTTTTCGTGTGGATCTTTCTGTGATCTTTCCTTGTTTTGGATTTTTGTTTGTTTGGAGTTTTCAGGTGCTTATTCAACTGAAGTTGACGCCGCCAAAGCTCATGATTTAGTGGCAATCAGAATAGGGGGCTTAAAAGCATTGACGAATTTTCATGTATATGTCATTCATTATTGATTCATTTATGAATTACATTGGAAAAATATATTGTCGTGGATTTTGATTTAATTATTGTTAATTTGTTTCATTCTTTCTGATAAAGCACACTGTTATATATTCTTAGATGAGATGCTATTCGACGGACATGGATGAAATGCGCAGAATGAACAAATGGGACTATATTTGTGCTGTTAGAAGGTAAGATCTGAATTGTGTTATATTGTAGCATTCTTATATAATATTCTCATAATACTTTGTAAAAAAATTATTACATAAAAATTTCTATAACTACTACAACAAAATAAGAAAAAAGTTTTTTTTTTTCACTATTGACTTATTTGGTGAGTTATTTCAATAAAGAAAAAAGTTTTATAAAATTAAAAGGTGATGTTTATAATAAATTTGTATTTCTAATTTGCACAGTTTATAATAAATTTGTATTTCTTAATTTTCAAATCAACTATGTAAAATTAAGGTCATTGCTACTGTAATGGTGATTTATTGCGCAACTTAATTAAAATTGTTTTATCGTGATTTATTTGTTTAGCATGGGAAAGGAATGATTCTTTAAAAATATTCAAACATGAGTATATGAGTTCATAATTAAGATAAAGAGATTCATGATTGCATGAAAACATGAAAAAACAATATCAGGTTGGGCAAGGGCTATACAGACGGTGGTGATTCCCCTTTCCGTGGCGTCTACAGGTCTGCATTCCTTCTTTCTCTCTTTCTCTTTCATTAGTTTACTCTCTGACTAATTCCTGCCAGAAACAGGGTTCCGACAAGCAGGAAATGGGAAGCGAGGCTCGGTCGTGAGGGGTCACCAACCATACACTTGGGAACTTATTGTGAGTTTGTATTCCAAATGATCATCAGATTCATTTTGTAATTTATGGCACACTGAATTGATAAGCATCAGCATGTATGTGAACTATATATAAATCAATAGAATATGTTTGTTGCACTCTAAATAAGTTTAACGTAAGACATGATTGTCTACTTCAGACACTGCAGAGGATGCAGCGAGAGCTTATGATATTATATCAATAAAACTGAAGGGAGGGGATGCAATTACCAACTTTGACTCGAAATCCTATGAAACTGAGGGCATAATGGAGAGTGTGATTACTCAAGCAACCGATGGATCGATTATTCTGCAGAAAGAAAAAAGCAATAAAGAAACCGAAGCATCTCCTCAAACCAGCTCCGTAGTCCAACACCATCCTCAACCACCGAGTGTCCCATCCATTTGTCGTTGCTGCCACAATCAAATTCCACCAAGCAGCCCTTATGCTCTTGGTGGAATTACAGGTGGAGCTGCAAACAGTGGAAGTGAAAATTCAATTGGTAACGATGCTGCACAGATTGCACAGTTTCCCAATGAGAGTGCAACACTGCAACAGCCACTTCAGACGCCGAGGCAAGTGAGTTTTAACAATTGCTTTGATCAGAATTTTGTCATCAACAACAACCAGTTTCCAAATCATAATGCAACACAGCAACTGTCACTTCTGACTCCGAGGCAGGTGAGTTTTAGCAGTAGCTTTAATCAGAACCTTGTCAACAACTACAACAACAATAACCAGTTTCTGCCTCAGAGTTCTAACCTTGCATTGCCTGCTCCTGGCACCCAAAATCTAGACTTAGAAAGGTGTGTCCGTTTCCCTGATTGGCGATCAGGTTTTGGAAAGAAGTTACTAGGGGGTGGCTTGGAATTGGAACCTTTGAGCAATATTGCTGCCCTCAATGTGCAACCTCTACCACAAGTCTCGCTGAATGAAAGTACAGGAGCAACACAGCTACACTCACCTGCATTGCACCAAAGTTATGAGCATCAGAACTTGAACTCCTGCTTCTCTGATAGTTTTCAGAACCCTATTTCTGAACCAAACAACAACGGCTTCCAAAGTCAAGCCACTGGAAGTCAAATCGATTTGGACGTGAGAGATTATCTCAACAGATCTTACATAGAAGACACCGACTTCCAATGTGATTATGACCTGTTTTCAGCACTGAATGGGGGTAGATAAGACCTCTAGAGCTTCCATTGCTAGTAGCTTTACATATTTATCATTTGTCATTCAAAGCGGATTCAACTTTTCGGGTCAAACAGTGTGGTTTGAATAAGTGAACATTAATCAGTCTTGAGTCAAGTTTCTCAAACTCAGATTTTCTTTTACCTATGATTGATTCCAGATGGTTAAATCAATTTTATTTTACCTTCATGAATTTGGAATGTGAACATTGTTGTTATGATGAATCTCGTAAACTTAAGTTCGTTATAAAAAGTCTAAATATGACATGATGGAAGTAATTAGAATAGTTCTGAATTAATTATTTATTTATTTTTGCAAACAAGGGGTAGATGCTTTGGTTTCTCGGTTGTTGAAAATGTTCACCTAATTAGGAATTGCTTCTCTTCATTTAGACATTGACTACTAAATTGCGTATATTCGCGAATGGCTAAATATTGAAGTGAAAAAATATATCATAGATAGATATAACATTACATAGAGGTAGTTTATTAAATGCATAGTAGTAACTACATTTTTAATGTAGCTTTTATGTTCCTCATTTGTAAACTACATTTTCACATTCTTTAAAAAGTATCATATAAAATATTAACTTCTATTGATAATCCAATTTTTATTCACATACCCTAAAAGAAAATTCTTCTTATACATACCTAACTCAACTTTTTAGCCACACATCCAAAGTCCAATTTTTACCCATGCAAATACTTCAACCCTAGGACTTTTTCCTCCATTCCTATCGCTTAGAACTTTTTTAAAATTTGTTTCCTTTAATTTTATGACTTACGTTTATAATATTATTTAATATAATAATATTATGAAATTAATTTTTTTAAGATGTAGAAAAAATAATTTATAATGATAAGGGAGTTCTATAACGAAACTAGCAAATTGTAGGTAAAATTATCATTTCGATAAGGAATTGATTATTGAGTTATCATATTGTTAGTGGCAAATCAAGAAAAGCGATCGAAAATGAAGGAAAGAAATGTGACTCGATAAGATAAACAAAATCGATGTCTGATTAGAAGCACGTAGCATCGAGAAGTACAATCGAGAATCGAGTAAATGATAACCAAAGGCCTGTTATCGAATGAATAACTAAATCATATGAGACCAAGGTCAAAAAGGAATCATAAGCAAATTGAAGTTCTCGAAAAAACAAAATCGAGAGTGAAGAAAGCCAATGTGGACATCGAGATTCTGCCAAACCATGAAAAGAAGAATAAGTCAAACGCACGTATAGAGAGCAGTTTCGAAACATGGAAGGAGTCGAGGATCGTGAGAACGTGGGAAACTGTAGAAAAAGAAACCGTCATACACGAAAGAACGTGGTAGCAGTCTTATTAACTGTTCTGGGAAGGCTTGAAGGAGGCCCTATAAATAGAGCAAAGAAGGAAGGAGAGGGGGGAGCAGAAATTGGCAGAGAACAAAATCAGTAGTGAAAAGTCTACCGAAAAAACGACGAACACCATGAAGCTTCTGGCAATCTGGATTTCCTTGCTCATTGAGTACATTTACCGCTTTCTGTATTTTCCTTGGTAATTTATGCTTCAGCAATTTTATGTTTTTGTACTCTCTATTCTTAGTCATTTCAATTCAATGCAAGTTTAAGTTTCTGTATTTTCGATTCCTTGTCATTTCAATTCAATGAAAGATTAAGTTTCTGCATTTAAGCTTCCTGTCATTTACTTTTCTTGCGATTTCGATTTATTGCCATTTACATTCCCTGCAAATTTCGATTTCCTGCCATTTATATTTGCACTATTTTCGATTCCTCGTCATTTACAATTAATGCAAATTTGGGGTTTTCGCACTTTATATTTTCTTGCAATTTAATGTTCTGTTTCTCGATTCGATACTTTACTGCTTTCAGTACTTTAAATACAAAATACCAAAAACAGCTTTCTTGATATCTTGTGATTTTCGATCCTCATACACGTTTTCGATTAAAAGTCAGACTGCTAGCCTAAGTAAAAAGAACTTACATGGGAGGATTTCGATTAGGATCATAACACTGTTTAGAATCGAAATCGATCGAAATTCCACCAGAAACAAATTGGCGCGCCAGGTAGGGGATCTTGTGTCGAGATACACAAAATTGGTTAGTTCGAGAGTGTATGAGATTAAGGAGTGGGAGAGTCATGAGTCAGAGTTCATCAAGTAACACTGAGGGATTAAATGGGTCACACTCATCAAATACTGGGGGGCAAAGTCATAATGGGAATACACCTGTAGTATCGACAACTGTAAGTATGTCGATACCTGTGAGTAATGAACAAAATCTAGGCACTTTAGCAAATACCCAAGTAGGATCTAGTACGGTGGCACTAAATAGTATGCCAACTATGGGAAACCCTGTGACAACAAATGCGGGGCCGTATATGAGTATAAGACCACCTGGGTTTTCGCTTAACATGAATGGAGTGGGTACTTCTTCGATGCAACGAAATTCGAGATATAACTTAGGAACATTCCAAACCCTAGGTATGCCACAGAATTTTGGAGTATCTCCTAACCTAGGAACATCTCAAAATTTAGTAATTCCCCAGAACTCAGGAAGTGTGCAGAATGTAGGAACGCAGCAAATACCTCCAAATCTAGATCATAGAGGAAACGTAGATCATGGGAGATATGCGTTCGATAGGGATTATCATCGATCTAATTTTGATACCATCGAAAATACTAGTACTGGCATATCTAGTAATTCCTTAGGAATACTTAGACAACAAATGGATGAGAGTAATTTTGAGATTGTGAATATGTTATCACAACAGTTGACTACAGTTCTAAATCCATTAGTTCAAAACACTACTGCTAGTTTTGAGATATTAGCGGACCAAATGTCACGAATCGGGGATGCATTGGCTATACCTCGACAAACGAGGGTAGAAAATCATGCTACTAATAATCCCCCGTATCTATTGAGGAGAAATAGAAACAATGATCAACATCAGCATAGGGGAAATGAGTACCAACATGTGAGGAATGACCTTTATGGGAATTTGAACGAAGGATTTCAAAATATACACAATCAGAATAACATGTTAGGACAAAGGATGAATTTACAAGGGATGGAATTTAGACCTCCCAATCAGACATATTTTGTGTCTCCCTTTCCGAATGCGATTCTCGAGACAGAACTGCCTCGAGGATATAAAGTACCCAAATTCACTAAATTTGTTGGAGAAGTTGGTGAATCGACTATCGAGCATGTGGCTCGATATCAGATCGAATGCGGGGATTTAGCGATGAGTGAAGAATTAAAAATGAAATATTTTCCTAGTTCTTTGACTAAGAATGCTTTTACTTGGTTCACTTCGTTACCGCCCAATTCGATATATAATTGGTTGCAGTTAGAGAGAAATTTTCATGAACAATTCTTTAGAGGAGAGACTCAAGTAAGTCTAATCGATTTGATGAACATAAAACGATACAATCATGAAAGTATAGATGATTATTTGAATCGATTTAGACAAATGAAATCAAGATGCTTTACTCAAATTCCTGAATATGAATTAGTCAGAATGGCCTCTGCAGGTTTAGAATTCTCGATTAGGAAAAAGTTGGTCAATTTACCATTGAATGATATGGCTCAGTTAGCTGATAAAGTGAGAAGAGTAGAACAAATTGAGTATGAAAAACAAAGATATAAGAAATTTGAGAAACCCTTGAAAAAAGAAAGAATAGCATATATAAATGATGTGTATGAAACAGAGCCCACGACAGAGAATGAGGTGGAAGAGACTGTCGATGAGAAAGTAAATATAGCAGAACTCAAAGTAGGAGCTCCATATATCTGTAAACTGCTACAAAAGAATGAAGTGAAAGATAAAATGGCAAATCGAACATATACTTTCGATGTGACGAAAGCTGATAAAATCTTCGATGTTTTGTTAAAAGACAAACAAATTAAGTTGAGCGAAGATCATAAACTGCCTTCGGCAGAACAAAGGAATGGTCGAAAATATTGTAAATTTCATAATGTTTTTGGACATTGGACTAACAATTGCATACATTTCAGGAATACGATCCAGGATGCGATTGACCAAGGAAGACTAAAATTTGAAGAGATGTCAATGAAAGTGGACACAAGTCCATTCGAAGTACAAGTGGGGTATATTGAATCCCAAACGGGCATGACTGAAGATGTCCGAATGATGAATTCTGCCTTTATAGGCATGGTCGATGTTACTGAAGACATTGATCCTAAACATGTTAGAATGGACGTGTCTGAAGAAGATATGGAATTCGATCTGAGTGAATTCGAGAAGGAGTTCGAAAAAGAGATCTACCCTCGATCAGGGGATTCCCTAGTTGAGTTTTTGAATAGGAAGAAAGAAAAAGACGAAGATGTGTCGTTATGCCCACGATGCAGTGCGGTGTTCGATAAATCGGCTGCTAAAGCTTTCAAGTTAGAACAAATAAAGAAGATCGAGAGCCAAAATAAAAGGAAAAATGACAAAGTAGATCAAACAGTTTGACCAACAATCGAAGAAAGTCAACAGAAATCCGTTGGTTCTGGTGTTAGTGAAAATCAAAGGCAATGGATCAGAAGAGAAATGTATCCTTCTCGAGGAGGAAAAGGCAGACTTCAAAGCCATGATGTCTTCGAGAGATTGTCATACGATGAAGGATCGAACACTGGATTCCCAAGATTCCAAAGGAGGTTCCGAGGAAGGCCCTGGAGAAGAGGAGGGAGGATCCCTTATTGGAATAATTATAGAAATTTCGAAGAGAATATTGTACCGATGGATAGTCAATATGCAAGAGAATATTTCGATGATAAGAATGAGGGTACTTGGGACGAGCATCAAATCGGAGTAATATCGATACTACCAGCAGAATATGTTAGTGAATATCAAGAGTACCAAGAACAGAGTGATGCCAATCGAGAAGATGACTTTTACTCAGAAAATATAAAGCCAAAAGTAACATGGGTTACACAAACATCATGTGAAGTCCCTCATAGAGATGCTGCTTTTATTGATCCTCCA